CACTTCTCAAATATCTATAATCTCAGTCTTGTCCCTGGTGGAAGAGCTGTGAGGAAGAGTGTTTTCTAAAATGTCAAGTGGTTCGTGATGTTCGGTTTCTATGTTCGATGTGTTCTACAGCAAGGTCAAGTAGTGCAGCCTGTCGGGTTTCTACATCTGGGACTTACTGAGATTGTATACATTCCTTAGAATGTAATTCCTTGTAGAGTACAAAGTAATATAATTTATAATAAATGGAACATATTTTATGTACACATATATATGATCTTCTCTTCTAAGGGTTATCTTTCAATTTTTAACAAACATGTTAAAACCTGTATCTACCTATTAACATCAAGTAGAAAAATAACTATTCTTCTGGGTACGAGAACATCTTTAGCACACTTTTCCTTCCCCCATTCCTCCCCCTTCCCATTTTTCAGATTTAGTTACAATAATGAGGAATTTTAGTCCCAGATTATTGCTTAATTTTTTATGTCTTTTCTATTTTAAGTATCCTTTTGAAGCAGTTATTAATCATCTTCATAATCACACTCCACCCAGTTTGTTAGCCATACCTTAGCACTGAACTGGTCTCACTGATCACGCTAATTTTTTCTATATAACGTGTCTTTCTTTTTCTTGCATTATTTGATGGGATTGATTTCACATTTGGCTGGAAGGTGCAGTCTCAGAGGCTCTGGAAAGACCCCAGAGAGCCTCCGGTCCATGGGCAGGGTGTCACCCTTGCAGAGTGCACAGTGGGTGCCACACTCTGGGCTGGGTTCAGTCTTTTCCCTCGAGGGACTTCCAGTGGGTGGGGGAGACAGGACACAATATGATGCTTCCCAGAACCTTGAGGCCCAAGTCCACTTCCAGAGGAGCTGGGCTGGGGGCTCCCGAGGGTCTGTGTTCTCAGGGAGAAGGTGTCTGTCAGTCCTGAGACCAGGTGGGAGGGACAGAGATGGAATGTCTGTGCCAGGGTTTAGGGACCCCAGGTCGATCGGCTGTGGGGACTAAGAGGAGGGGTCGGGGAGGTGGCATTAGGGTCCAGGGAGTTCCTCCCAAGTTTGCTCCCCTCAGAAAGCCCTTTGCTAAGGCAGTTTGCCTTAAGGTGTGGATGGAGGCTCCCTGCTGTGAAATCCCTGGAGATGTTAGCAAGTCTTTGGGAGCCGAGAACCCCCAGTCGGAGTCCAGGGGAGGGCCTTGGAGTCTGCGTGGGGGACCCACCTCCAGGGGACTCCAGGGCACAGCAAAGTTTGAAAATGACTGGTCTTTGCCCATCAGGACAAACCGCCCTGGAGCATGGTTGCTCAGGGATCCCGCAGGAAAAAATAGGGGACGTGGCGTCATGGGTACAAATCAGCACAATAACAAACACAGAAGCCACGGGCTGTGCCAGTGCCCAGCACTCTACAGTTTATGACACCCCATGAGATGCCCAGCACAGACTCTGCTGATTTTCAGACGGGGACCCATGAGGCTCAGAGAAACAAAGTGACTTGCCTAGGGTCGCTCAACTAGCATGTGAGTTTGGGCTGGGATCTGGAAGCCAGTTCTCTGTGTCCCACTGCACGGTACCCCCGGCCACGGAGGTCAGAGAGGCCCACGGCATTGAGGCGGGTGTGGAATGTTTGAGCCTCAGGGAAGAGTGTCTGGGCGCCTGCAGGCACCACCATGGGTGCATTGCCTAGGAACATGAGCGTGGGTATGCTGGGGTGCCCTTTCACTGCGAACCCCCAAGCCACTGTGGGGCAAAGACAACACTTCTGACAGTCCCAGGCTCTTTTCCTGGTCCCCTGGGCCATCTGTCTGCTAGGTAGGCACCTGCTGTGGGCCCGGCCCCTGCTTCCTCTGCATCTGGGCCATCTGAGTTAACCTGGACCGCGGTCCCAGAAATAGGAAGGATAAGCCCCACTGTGCAGTTGGGAAGGCTGAGGCTCAGAGAGCTTCTCTAGTCAAGAAACAGTCAGAATTTGAACCCAGAGCCCAGGTCTGTTCCAGCCTGCTTTGTGCTGTGATGGTTTGGGGGGCTCACATTTTTCTATCTCCAGAACCTTACAGACCCCACTTTCATGACAGAGCCAAAGAGACACCCGACTCCTTGGATTTGACGTGGAAAGTGTGTTTTGGTGAAAGAGTTGTGGACGTTTAGCTCAGAGAGAACAATAAAGACTAGAATTTTCAGTCCAATTCTAAAAAAGAGAAAGTATTCAGAGGGAAAGGAGTTTAGCATCAGTCTAAAGAACTTCTTAACGGTACAGCTCTCCTGAGATGGAGTGAGCTGCCTTGTAAAGTAGTGAGCTCTCTGTCCCTGGAAGCATGCACACTGAGGTTGATACTCGGGGCTCAGGGCGTGCCCGGACTGGGTGGGCACTGGAAATGATGCGCTTTGGGGATCAAGTCTTAGTAAGTTCTCATCATTTGACTCATGGCCCTGAGATACTCCAAGCACCTATTGACTCCTCAAATCAACACACAGGCCTGCTCTGTGTGCTTTTTTTTCTTTTTTCTTAAATAGAATTTATTTTTTAGAGCAGTTTTTGGTTCATAAAAAAATTGAGCAAAAAGTACAAAGATTTCCCATATTCCTCCAGCCACCCCCACTCACAGCCTCCCTTACCATCAACTCCCC